CCACGCCCCGCCACGCCGCGCGCGCGTTTCCCCCCCGGGCGACGGGGCGGGCTGCTCCAGTGCTCTCCAGCGGGGGACCAGGACGCGGCAGAGACACTCCAGCCGGCTCCAGCGCTGCGCCTCGCCGTGCTCCTACTCCTGGAGCCCGCTCCCGCTCGCCCTGCGCAGCGCTGACCAGCGCAACGCGCCCGGTGCGCCTGCAGGCACCCCGCCAAGGCGTTCCAGGCGTTCCAGGCCCTCCAGGCGTTCCCGGCGTTCCAGGCCCTCCAGGTGAGCCCTGTGCGCGCGTGTGAGTGTCGGACACTCGTGTGACACTCCGTGCCCAAGTCAGATCCAACGTGAGGCAGTATGCCGTATGCCGGCGCGCTTTATGGCTTGTCGTGATGGGCGCCCTTTTCGCGCCCTTCTAACCGACTTTTAAAGAAGAGTAATTTTGAGTTGGGTGCTGTTTTCTTTCTGTTTTTCTCTTGCGACATAGCGGCGCGCAAGTTGTAAAGAATCCATTATACCGAGAGGTCAGCGCGCCTTGCGCCACGCGTCGCTCGACAACGGTGTATAGTATCGTACTTTGTTACGTTCCATATTCTGAAACGGGCAACCCTTTCTTAGTAAAGAACTCTAAAATACTTTCACTTTTTGTTCGCGCGCCTGTAGTGTTACCCATGTGTGATCATGTGCGTGTGCGTCATATGCGAGGAGGATCGGATCCACCCGTTTAAACGCCGCCGCTGCTCCCGCGCCCCCTGGCCCTGGCCCCGAGGCAGCAGACAGCTGATTGAGTCTCGAGCCCCGCTAGCCGAGCAGACACCTGCACAGCCGGCTCGGCTCGCCATCTAGTTAGCGGCTTTAGCGCTCGCCTTAGCGCGCCCAGCGGAGGGGCTCATTGGGCCAGCGCGGGCCGATCATGCAGTCGAGCAGCGAGTCGTTGGGGTGTAATGACTGAGAACAGGACCGACTACACGAGCGGGGAGGCGAGGCGGGGTCGCCGCGGAGGCGAGAGGCGTGACCCTTGCACCACAGCAGCCCCGGGCCAGCAGCCTCGAGCGTCAGCAGCAGCTCCTCTGTCCCATCTGCTTTCTGGAGCAGACGCGGCCCGACTTAGCGGCCCGGCGCGGCCCGGCATGTCACACACAGCGATTAGGGCCACAACACGGCGACACGGCAGCGGCAAATTAACACGACACGCAGACACGAGCAAACACAAACATTCACACACACACACAAGGGTATGGTGCTACTCTCACGAGTGTGGCGATGCCTCGGAAAGTAATACGACACGTTACTGTCATGAGATAATAATCGTAGCGGTAGTTAGACCGGAACGGTATGGCAAAGTTACACTGCGGCATCGATCGTAAAGTGCGTCATGAAACGTGTTCGATTCCTGTCGTCTCTTTCCTTCCGGAAACGTGAACTGACTTTCGGGACATTCGTATGAGGTGGCTCATTCGCCCAGTCCACCCCCGCGGGTCCACCACATTCGAAGTGTGCCGCATGCTCGCGTGCGGACGGGTTTGCATATTGCCAATGATTATGGCGCCTTGGTAGGCATTGGTAGGCAACCCGTCCGCCAACACGCACATGGTACAGGCTAAAGGCTAAGGGATCGTCCATAGAGTACGTCCTTTTTTATCAGATTCATTCGCGAATTACAGGAGCTCAGCGCCTACGAGACTTAAGGTAAGGGAGAGCGGGGTACCATGAACATGGGGCACGATGAGCATTTTGAATTGACGCGCCAATGATGTCAGCGTGCGCCACCAACCTGTAAGACGTTGATTGGGGGTGTGCCAGCGGATGTTTTTATCGAGAGCGCGAAGTCGCACGGCGCGTAAGACGAGAAAGGGAGAGGTTCATAAATTTAAAGAGAGCAATTTAGGTAAATCGAGCATAGAATTATTCGGGATATTTTTTTTAGAGCCGAATGCTTAGTCCGACAGTACAAGCGACGTTTTCCCTGCCTTCTGTAACCTTCTTACTATGAAATACGACTGGACGCGATTTTTTAGAACACCTGAGGTTAACTCAGGTCCCTCTAGACCAAAAAGTTGTCTTTTGGGGCACGATGAGCAGTTTTTTTCGGGGTACCATGATCATGCAAATGTCATAACTTTTTATGTTCAAATCGAAATCTGGTTATTAATTTGG